CCACGCCAGCGAGTCGTTGCGGGGCACGGAGAACGAGCCTGCGGGACCCGGGGCTGAGGAACCCCGTCGCCCACAAAGGGCGGAGACGAGCGGTACGACCTAAATCGGCGTGCGACGTTAGGCAGTTGTAGCAACCCTATCGTGCCTGGTTCGCGACGACACGGCAGCTCGCCATCGCCCCGCCGCGATTACCCTAAGGGGATGCCTGTCTAGCAGGTAGATTCAGGGGACAGTCGGCGATCGTTTGGGCGACCAGGCGGTCCTGGCTGGGTGGTCGGATGCCGACAGGCCTGAGGCCCTGCCAGGTGTTAGAGTTTTGACCTCGCCCCGAAACCGACCGCCCTCAGTTTGGGTCAACCGGTGATTCTGTCGACACCGGATCTGGCGCAACCGCAAAACTTAGACGGACAGGCTACATGGACACCTCATAGCGGGAGATCGGATCCGGGGCCCCGCCACCTGCGTCGTGCGTAAGAACGCGGTCGGAGCTGTGCGGCCCGATACTCGATGTGAGCTCGCCTAGCGACGCGGCCGTCGCGGTCGAAAAGACGGACGGAAATGCGGCGCGCGCCCGGTCCCGAAACGGGGCCCGGCGCCACAAACGAAGAGCTCGACAGAAAAGGCGAAAAGCCCGTAACGTTGCCGTTGCGGTCTTCCGGAGGAAACCGCGGAGCATGTGCTATACGATTGCCCATCATATAGCCAGGAAAGAAACAAGCTCGCAGCCGCAGCGCAAGCGGAACGTGTGGACTGGCCGTGCGACTGCGATACCATGACCTCCACGTAGGCCATGTTCCTTGCGTTCAAAAACTTCTCCCGGGAGGTCCTAGAACGTAAAGATGTAGGACGACCCCGCGGGCACGACCCAGATCCCTAATTTTAAAACCATAGCGGACGGGCGTGTGGCTTGAGGGCGTACGTGCAGGGCACGACGCACTGCCAGAGACATGTGGATAGTCTCCCCTATCCACGCGGGCACAAATCGTCCGAGTGGGCCTAGCCAGAACGACCGTCGCTGTCATCGATGGCGGCGAGCTAAAAGCCTGCGAAGTACCGGTTAGTGGCAGGCGAAGCGGGACCCGATAGCCGGACAAAAGGACCCTAAGACGGCGCCCCCACAGGATCGTCGAACGTTCTCCGTACTAAGACCTGCCTAGCCGGGGGCGAGGGACGGGATACCTCGTGGGACGTACTGAAAGCCTGACCTCCTCGGTGATGGGACGGACGAAACATCTCGCGGGGCGAATTGGGTGCCCTCGCTCCCTATGAACAAATTCTTGCCTAGACCGAGAGCTCGAACTAAAGGGGCCAGACCACCCTTCGGGCTAAGGACGTGCACGTATTCAGCCGGCTCGGGTCTTGATACGAAAGAAGTACCGGCAGAAACGGCAATCTGTCGATAAAGAGCAAAACCGTACGCACTATAAGGGGGTTCGTCGCGGTACACACAGCGGTGCCCCGATCGACCTGCTTGCGGACAAGGCAGTTGCGAGGGCCTGAACGCCGGGTTCAAACCTTGTACCACGGGACTCGGAGTAAGCCCCGTCGAGGCGGCTTGCTAATAGCGCCTCGACGCTCCGGGGGTGCTGGACCCGAGGCGCACGACCGCGTGGACTCACCGAGGACTCGCGCTCGTCCGCGGCAAGCCCGTCACACTTGAGGAAAGTCTCGTGTTGGTTGTGCGAGTACCGCCTTAGTGGAAGGGGTCTGACTTCGGTGATAATCTGTCGGGCCCTGGTCGCGGCGGTCATGAAGTTCCAAATTTGGACAAAGTCCTTCACTCCGCAAGAAAGGTATATGAGCCTAGACTCGTCCCCTTTCAGGCAGAGGCACCAGATACTTTTCGGGAAAAGTATCAGGCATCGTCATATGAGGACAGTTGTAAGGCCGTCCACCAGTCTCAGGAAAGGAGTTTTTACGCCCCTCGCCTTAAACGTGGGTTTTCAAATGACTACCAGTTTGGTATCAAGATGTATGAAATCTCTCTACTGACCACTGGTAGGGCCGCGGAACTATCCAACCCGCTACTTAATATGGTTTAAGCAACCGCCAGGTGGTATACTCCCACCGGCAGAGTGGCTGTGTTCCCGGGAGAATACTCACCGTTAACCTTCGCCTGATCAGCATGCGATCAATAACCACTTTCGTCATTTACATGACTGCCACTACGAATCCGATCCCAGACGTCCACACCAGGTTTCCCCGATGCTTGGTTCCAGACGTCGTTCCCGTAGTACTTATTCCTAATTTAAATTAGGCGTCTAAAGTGCGACGTTTCGGCTAGACTTCCATCATGGCCTGAAGCTAGGTTGTTTTGCCTCCCTACTATTTACTTTTACAGATACTCGAGGGCTAGTTGTTGGCCCATAACGCCGCGCTCGCGGGTTACACGGTGGTCGTGGCCCCTCATTTTATTTTAAAATAGAGTGAGTACTCTATTCACCACGCTCCGCCTAGCGTCTACAGGCCCGAAGACCGTGCATCAAAACCACGCGCCCCAGGCGCACCTAGTGTGAACACGTAGGTCACTGGAGAGTAGAGCCAACAGAACTTGCCCCAAGGAGTAGTTTCCGCTGTCTCTTCTACCATCGCGCCGATCAACTCTGCACCTCGCATCCCAGATGCTTACTCAGTCCAGTCGGACGAGCCACGGCCGCCAGAATTGGCAGACATCACCCCGAAGGGTTTATTCACACCATTTCCCATGCCGTACCTTTGCCACCACCACGCGTCCCAGACGCCCTCAGCTCTTGCGAGCGTGAGTCTACACCTCATCTAAGCCCAATCTAACCTAACCAGCCCAACTACATGACCGCGAACAACCGACACCTCCGTCATGAATCCACGAAACCCTTTCCAGAGTTCCGGGGAATTCACAAGGACGCGCGGCGAACATGGCCACTGTAGGTATCTCGACTCCACTAGGTCTATTAGTGCCCGTCTAGCGCCCGCCAGTGCATCGCACTCGAAAACGACGTGTTCCATCGTGTCCGAGCTTCCGCACAGCTGACATTCGTCGGTCTCTGACTTAGAGAAGCGTAGGAGATAGGACCTAAATTCCCCATGTCCCGTTAGGAACTGGGAGGACTCATGGTCCATCTCCACCCAGCTACACTTCAACCTTTCTTTCACGCATGGGAAATAGCTATGTGTGAGTCTACCCTTCTCACTAGCCTCCCACCGTGCTTGCCACTCTGCGGCGGTCACTCAATATGGTTCCTAAGGAGAGGTGGCGCCCCGGGAGGATCTCCCGGTGAACATCCAGGCTTCCAACCCGGAAGTGATAGCCTTGCGGCTACATAAAGGGGTCGAGTGTCTCTTGGGCAACCCTAAAGAACTGGTTGGATCCCGCAACACACGAAAAGATGTACATAATAACAGTTATTATAAATGGTATGTGTATAATATTTTGAATAGCGCCGATTTGAATTAAATGAAACCATTTCGCAATTAACCTAATATTTATTTTTGCATATAATACTCATTATAATGTACATATTATAAAAACATAGATCGCGATCGTTTTTTGTAATTAGTATTATTCTTTAGGTTTTCTTAACTTCAGTGACATACTCAAACAAGCAATCATCCTCTTTTGCCGGGAAATAATAATAGTATGATCGTTTAAAATTTTTGGCCAAACGACTATTATAATAGTCATTATGCATTGTCTGGTATATTGTTCTTGCGTTATTAATTGACATTCTTTTAAGTTTTAAGATGTATTCGGCTTTGGTTTTCTTGACCTATATTATAGCATTGAAAAAACAAAACCGACCATTTTAATAAAATAGTATACTTGGTAATTTAAATTTATTTTTAATACTAATTTCCGTACCATAGATAATATTACTAAATAATCACAAATATACGGAGCAGGGTGGCCAGCTAGAAGAGACTTGTGAGCCGCCCAATATATTAATAAATATGGAAGAACCAAAATGAAAAATAAAGTTAATTTAATAAAGAAGGTTATTAGATGTCAATTGTAATAAAATGTATAAAATGCGAAACAATATATGATATTAATTAATAATTAAAAATAAAAATAAATACATATTAAAATATTTTACCAAAAACACTATTTTTTTTTTTTTTTTGTAAATTTTTCTATAAATTGAAATTTAATAAAATATTATACTTCTTCAAATACATAAATTCATATTGAAAATAATTTTTTTCGTAATAATGTTTGTATCTTACAATAAAATGCTAGCCATATGAGTTTATTACTGAGGCCGCATGCGACTCAAGAGTTGCAGTTTGGCCACCCCCGATATAGAGGTTTGAAAGAACTTATCTTAACTCCCTAAAGCCGTAGGTACAATTTTTTTTATACTGTAGATGTTTTACTAAGTTTAGTTTTTATGAAATTGAAAATAATCTAATAAAATATGATTATAATCTTTTAAACTCTTATTGGTATTTTTTATGATGTAGTTATGTATTGATTGATGCTGAGTGCTATTAAGAATATAATAAATAGTTGATATAAAACGATAATTGTATACTACCTACATCATTTTTACATCAACAGATATATTCACCTTACGTTTCATTTCATTCACTTGATTCCAAGACATTTTTTTCATCGCACTGATGTTTTTTTCACCTTGCATTAGGTTTTTTGGAATATTAACAGATGTCAATTTGGGTCGCGGTGCACTCCATGCGTTTATCGACTGAATCATTAGCTTTTCTACGTCATTAAATAACATTCGTATATTTTAATATGTAATTACATAATGATTTGCACATGTATTTTTCTTTCTTTTATTTTGAACTATAGTTTGCCTACGATGATAATTAATTTTTACAAACGTTTTATTTTCGACGTCAAGTGTCTGTTTTCATTTATCCGTACTTCATACCATCTCCGCAATTTGTTAAATTCGATTATTTCCGGGAAATCTGCTATAGGATCACCCATAATCGACATCAATTTCAGTACCACCTGTGTAGACGGGCATAGGTATACTGTATTAACTATTAGGTATAAAAACTAAAATAATTGGGTAACTGCTCGTCTTAATAAATATTATGCTTTAAGAGGTTCAGGTATGACTGTATGAGTTATTTAAGTTCGACAAGTGAACTAAGTATTATTTATAATTTAATGATTAAAATTTTATTATAATACAAATTTATGACAATAAACTAATAATAATAATAATAATCGTAAATAGAATATTGTACGTCCGTATTATGAGACTATTATACACGCACTTCAATGTATCTATAGGTAGGATATATCGTATTTCGTGCAACATAACATCATTTATGTTCTACTATTATGTATAATGTATATATTATGTATTTATGGCGTTATAAATATCTTTACGTATGTATACTTTATACACTATACTATATAAACCATGCAACATTTTCAAATTACATCATACAATGTTTTAAGTTAAATATGCACATTATAAATAAAATATAATAATAACTAAAATACGTATTTTGAATGACTGAGAACTCCTGGTTTTGATAATATTTGAGCTTCGCCTATCGGCCGCCAGGGCTAACTTTTAGTAAATTAAACAAGAGTTGTATTTATGTGTGTTTAAAATAAAAGCGTGTTCCAATTAACTTAGAAAAAAAATATGGAATAGTTCAACAATTAAGGAAAGGTGTGAATGCAACATATTAAGGAAATATTTTTAATATTCCAAATTCATCTATTTATAATATTAAACGGGATGTAAATAAAACTAAAGACTTTATAGTACAAATGGAAGCAACTGATGACAAGCTGAAAAAAATATGAAACTCGCTGTCAACTACCATTTAGATAAAGCTTGTACAACAATGGAGTCAAAGTATTCCATTAATAGGTCTGATTATAATGGAAAAAGTACTTGTTATGAATAAAAATTTAAATGATAATCATGATTTCAAAGCTAGTACAGAATGGTTGAACGAATTTAAATCATGTCATAGTATCAGGTAAATTGCAATAGAAGAAGGAAAACTTAGTGATAATAATATGGTTATCACTGGCTATATAAAAAAATTAAGCTTTGAAATAAAAAATCATCAATCTGCACATGACAACCAAATATATAGATTGTTACGAGAGACAAAATGAAAATGATTTGTCAAGTTTAATGTTACTAAGAAAAAACTATCGGAGCTACTTAATATGCCACTTATTTCAATAAATTTAAATGTCTGTTTACAGTAACCTATTTAACTAATATTTTCCATGCTGAGAATAACATTGAATTTATGTTAAAAAAAACTTGAGTTATAGAGAAAACATTCGCTTCAAAACAATATTAAATTCAGTCCATCACTTTCTACATTTTTAAAATCATCATGTGAAGTTTTCTTTAGGACGTAAATGATATTATCGATAACCTACAAATTTTGAAAATATTTTCTAGTTCCTGACAAAAATAAGAATTGAGTAGCAGATGTAAATGCAGATGTCCTCTTTTTGGTTTAATCTAAGACATCCTAACCGATCATCAATGTTTTTTTCGACAATTTATGTATGTGAAAAAAGATTTTCTGCCTATGTGGATACTAAAAAAATAATATGGAAATCAATTAAGAAAAAGAAACAGATTTACGAATCAACTATTCTTAATATAGATCTTAAAATAACAAATTTAGTATCAAAGAAATAACACATTGATTAAACTTTTACAATCATACAAATAATATATTTATTTAACTATTGTTTTATATTTATTCAATGTTTTCATATACATTTTTACATTTAGTTCTGAAAATAAAAAAACAAAATTATTATTATTTATTATTGGTTTTTTTTTTTTTTTATTTTATTAAGGGGTCCGCGATTAATTTTATTAACTTTAAACCACATTCTATGACGGGTGAATAGATTTTTCGTTCATATTTTTTTCTTAATCTTAAAATATTCAAAACTTAAGTATTTCTGCAAGACAAGGCCTTTTTAGAGCCTTATTGACAATTGTATAACTGCCGCAATGCCATACCGTTCCCTCTTTCTTGCTATTTCGTCGCTTTTTGAGCGAGGGTGTTTTTTCCTGGTGTTTAGAAAATTAGTTTCGTTGTTCCTATTTATAAATCTGGTAATCCTTCTAATGTCAAATATATCAAAAACTACCACCCTATTTCAATCATTCCTCATGACGCTAAACTACTTGAATTACTTATCTACAATAGTCAAACGTAACTAGATCGATATCATTATTAAAGAATAACATAAGTGGTTCAGGCTTTGCAAGTTCACTATAGCTAATAGTGCTGTACTTACACTGAATGCCTTGAGCAAAAAAGTCAAACTGACTTCATTGTTACAGATTTTATAAAGACATTCGATACAGTTGATCATGGTCTTGTTATTAAAGAACTACAGACACTTGGCATAAGAAATCACCTTCTTACTTGATAAACTCTTATCTAACCAGCAGAAAGTAATTTTTTAAGGTTCGTGACTCATTTTTTGAATTGATAAATGTACCCTCGGGGGTCTTCCGAAGAGGTCATTTAAGCCCTTTACTATTTATCATATTTATTAACTTTATTGATAAATGGATTAAAAATTACCAGTTTTTCCTATTTGCCAATGGCATAAAAATCTACTAAAAAATTGATTCTTCTGAAAGTTCTTTCGTTCTTCAATCTGAATTTGATATCTTCTCCATCTGAGTCAAATGTCTAGGTTTGTCATTTAACCTTGAAAACTGTCATATTGTCTTTTACTAGTAGTCGTTCTCTATTTACCATTCTTACCGCTTCGGGGACGTCTTTATTGAACGAGTGTTTTTATTCTATGACTTCGACATTTCCTATTTATTCTCTTAATTTTGAGCATCACATAAATAAATTGTCCCTAAAGCTCTCGAGATCTTAGGTTTTATTAAACGAGTCTCAAAAACATTCTCCTCGGCCAATTGTCTCAACTCGCCTTATTTCAGTCTGGTTCGCTCTAAGTTATAGTATAGTGTAGAAGTTTGGCTCTCTTACCTAGCTAAAGACTACCTAAGATTGGAATGGATCTAAAATAAGTTTCTTTCATATGGAGTTTTCCTATTAAAAATTGACCACCTTACGCACAATTACTTCTTTATTTTTTCTGTCTATTTTAATCAAATTTAACTTCTGTTTAATTACCACATAAGTACTTAATATTGTAAATATCATTATTATTTTTTTTTTTTTTTGTCTGAGCGTAAGTTAATTAAAATAAAATAAAATAAATAAAATTACAAAATAGACAACTTTTAAGTATGAAAAAAAAATATTATTTAGTTCCTGATCTATTTAAGTTAAATTTTACATACGTTGCTGTAAAATGTACAGTATATTAGTGCGTATTCCGGAATGTTAATCTGCCTTGAAAATATTTGAAAAATATATGGGAGAGTACTTAATCAAAGTACTTGCTTAATAGATTAAATAGCCCCGGCCATATATAAATAAAATTTAAAATTTAGATCTGATATTATAAGTTTTCAATGATATACAATTCATAATATTATGTCAGCTTATTGCTTGTAAAACCATAGTATAAATTTTGTTATTGAAGTGATTTTACAGTGAGTGTCTAGAACATATGTTTAATTTTATTACCTATCTACTTGGTTTTCTATTATTGGATAAACTATATTAAATAAAAACATTGTAAAAAAATAATTCAAAAAGAGAAGGATAAAATCAAAATTTATTCAAAATTTACTTTCAAATAGGTATAAATATGACTTATTTACCAATTTGTAATATAATAAATAAAAATTGTGATGCAATTTTGATTTCTTTTTTTTTTATGAGAGCGAGAGTCGCTGAAAGTTAAATTAAAAATATTAGGATCACACTCATAAAAATTTGGGAACCACTGCAGCAAACAATCAATATTCATAATTTATAACATATTATAAGAAGTTAAATATATCTTCTCTATCTCTAATACTATATAAAATTGAAAGGGGTTTTCTACGATTGCGCTAACCGAGAAAACCACTGAACCGATTTGGATGAAATTTTTTATTGGTATATCTGAAAGTCTGCTGAAGGTTTGCAAAAGTCATCAAAAGGTACCACATTTGTTAATAAGAAAAGAAGTAAAAAGTTCTTGAACATTTTAAAAAAATTATGTAGTATTTGAGTTGTATATTTATTTTTATTTTTGTAATCATTGGGAACTCTAAATATACAAAAAAAACTTTCCATGCAGTTGACTTTCATTCATATTAAATTAGTTATATAGTTTCATCTCCCAATAGGTTAATTAAAAAAACAAAGCTAATTTATGAGGCTAATCTGCGATCGGCTTCATTTGTTGAGGTTTTTCAAAGATTACGATTAACAGATTTCGAGATCAAACATTTGGAATGTTGGCATAGATCTTCGTGCAGAGTGCTTTTCATATGGACAATTAAACGTGGGATTTTTTTGAACTGAGAACCCGAAGTATCTAATGATTTTGATTTTAATATGAAATAGGACAAAAAAACGTTAAATTCTCAAAAGTTTTATAAAATTCTTTATCAACAATAGATCAATTAGCATTTATTTTGTATCTGTAATCATTTTTAATAAAAATATATTTATCATTAATACCGCCAGAAACACTTCAATACGTTTTCATTAAGCGTGGTTTTATATTTACTTGTCGATCACATTAAGCAAAAAAATTTGAATAACAATTCTACATATTATCGTCCGAAGGCAAAATAAACAACCAATTATGAGTGAAGCCGTCAAGGGTCGGCTATTTATCATTGGTGAAAAGATACTGTGTGATGGATAAGCTAAGAAATAAATCGATGATAATATCGAACCTTTTGAGGTAATGCTGTATAGTTATGATGGAATGACGGTTGGAGCTGTGTGGTTTTGTGAGCTGTTTCATCATAGAAACTAAGTAGCATAGTTTCAAGGTCACTTTATTTTTGAATTTTTTTCATGGCATTTATTAATGATTAGGATACAATATAATAATACAAAAACTCGAGAAATCAAAAAATAAATGGTACTTATTAATATAAATATAATAATTTGTTGTATTAGATTGTTTAATTGAATATCAAATAGAATTTGTGAAATTAACTTACTCTTAGTTGTTTCCAGTTTGGTAGTCTGTGAATTACACCATGTAGTCGTGTCATGTTAACCGAACCATCCTTTAAATTACATACATAAACAATAAAGTATTTAGAACGTCAATAAAAAAAAAATTTAAATAATATATCTAAAACTAATTTAAAGACGACTTATAAAGGAGACCTATCAATACTTTATAAACACATATTTATGTTCAATTTGATATCTTCAATAATACGTATCGTTTTTATAATGAAAACACCTATTTTTATGAGCTTAATGTTTAAAATTTCTTTTGATTGGATAGTCTTGGGACCCAAATTTCCATAAAACCCTACTGATTCAAGGTAAATATGTAATTTTCTTCATTAAGACATGTGTTTCGAGGAAGGCTTGGTGATGTTTTAATAAAATTATCATAGTCATCATAATCAAATCTTGGTTTACAAAAATTAGAAATTAATCTTTTTTATATAAAACATTTATTAATTTATGAATTTTTTTTTTTAACTTTATTCAAATAATTGGTTGCTTTTGTAGTTAATTAAGTTGAAAATATTATTGTTTCTTTATTGAGTAAGCTTGAATATCCTTTTTCAATTTAATTGGTATTAAATTATTTAAAACCAAGTATAAAATTAATTTTTACCGACAGCTGGGGAGATGGCAAAAAAAAAAAATTTAAAAGTACAGTAGTGTTTAAAAATTCTGAGTTCGTCTCTGACCTCATTGATGAGAGGTGGCTGAGGTGTACTCGAGCAATCATCATGGTCACAGTTTATATCTGTCTTAAACTCATTAGTGATGTTATCATCAAGAACAATGTCGTTGTAGTGTTTGTTAACATCAACGTGTACGGTAACTGCATGGCTGTCATGATCATTATGTTGCAAGTCCAACACTGACATTTTCTTGTCGAGTGCTATCATAGACGACTGTTCTTTGACAGCCACTCGTACCATTGACGGCAGTGGAGTGCCCTGTATGCCTTTCATTGACGGCGTGTTGACATGTTTGGTCCTGTCGAATTTAGCTACAGTGATACCGGTGTCCGACGAAAACACTGACGGATGCTGGTGTTGCTGGTGGTTAGCCGCCAACCTGGCACCATACTTTCGGAACTCTTGGCAAATTTTCTCCTCGTTCGCATCTATAGACATAACGTTAAGATGGCGTAACGTCTTTGAAAGCACCACGTCATCATCGCTCTCGCCGATATCTTCCCGTCCACCGCTTAGATTTTTTCCGCTATCTCTGAAACCCAAACATCAACTATTACGGTCGCTACCAGCCTATTGGGTGATTAATGGCAGCACAGCTGTAGTTAATTAAGTAGGCCTTGAAATTGCTCTTACGCAGTAACTTAATATTTAGTTATATTATAATAAATATGTCTAAAATAATCATAAACATTGCCGCAAGTGACAACGGGACTGGATGCTAAATTTAATTTATTAAATTACAGTTTAAAGTAGCAGATCTCAACCATAGGGTTCCAACTCAATTTTGGGTTTCCAATAATGCTCAATAGGTTGGCGAAAATTTAAAACGTTGATATAATATTTTTATTTTTGAGTCTGGCTACCTATATGAAATAGTTTTATAAATAATAAACGAAACCGTTATCGTTAATTATTTTAAGAGTTACCATTATAGGACATTTATTGGCATTAATATAGACTATTATACCCAAATTAATTCAACTATATTTAAGAATTGGTCCATTTAAATAATGAAACATTTTGAAGAACCATCCATTATCGAAATAAACAACGCATCATACCACTCTACGACTTCAGAACATTACCAAAATCAAACACAAAAAAAAGGTGATGTCTAACAATGGCTAATCAATAAAGGTATTGATTGTGAGTTACGTGAACGGGTAACAGATTTAGCACCCAGGGAAAAAAAATAAGAGCTCGATGAGATTGCCATAAAAATTTGAAATTCAGTTGTACGATTGCCACCGTAGCACTGTCAATATAATCCTGGCTTAAAAGAAAAGACGACAAGGATTCTCTATAAATGGTGTTCCTGCCACGTAGGGGTTATGAGGCCTCGGTCTAGGCCGAGCGCTGTATGGCGAAGTATAGTCTTAAGACACAGGCAAACACCGCCCAAAGGTGTCCGTTACTGGCAATAACGGGCGCATATAAGACCATAATGTAGATAGTTCTTCAGGTCATTGCCGGAGTACCTTCCCTAGATTTAGAACTAGTTTGGCTGGTTAAAATCGAAAGGGACAAGGGCGCTGAGAGGAAACATGTCAGCGTCAGACGTTGCTGAAAAGGCAAAACAGTATTACGATACCACAATACGCTTCTGGCAAGAGAGATAGGTCGCCAGTGACAAAGGAAAGCGGACAACGGCTTGGTTTCCGGACGTCTGGCGCAAGCTCAAGAGACCGTGGTTCGTTATGGAACACCTCGTCTCGCAGTTCGTGTCCAGACATGGGGATTTTAACTCGTCGCTCCGCCGTTTCAACCTTCGATGCGAGGCAGGTTGCCCGTGTGGTCTCCCTGAGGAAACCGCGGAGAATAAGCTATTCAATTGTCCAGCATATAGCCAGGAAAGAAGCAAGCTCGCAGCCGCAGCGCAAGCGGAAGGTGTTGACTGGCCGTGCGACTGCGATACCATGACCTCCACGTAGGCCATGTTCCTTGCGTTCAAAAACTTCTCCCGGGAAGTACCAGAACGTAAAGAGGTAGGGCGATCCCGCGGGCACGACCCGGACCCCTAATTTTAAAACCATAGCGGGTGGGCGTGTGGCTAGAGGGCGTATGTGCAGGGCACGGCACACTGCCAGAGACATGAGGACAGTCTCCCCTATCCACACGGGCACAAATCGTCCGAGTGGGCCTAGCCAAAAACGACCGTCGCTGTCATCGATGGTGGCGGGGCGAAAGCCTGCGAAGTACCGGATAGTGGCCGGCGAAGCGGGACCCAATAACCGAATCAAGGGCCTAAGACGGCGCCCCCACAGGACCGTTGAACGCTTTCCGTACTAAGACCCGCCTAGCCGGGAGTGAGGGACGGGATACCTCGCGGGACGAATCGGGAGCCCTCTCTCCATGATATATTTCTTGCCTAGACCAAGAGAACTAATTATAGTGGACAAACCACCCTTCGGGCAAAACATATGCGCGTATTCAGTCGGCTCGGGACTTAATACGAATGAGGCACTTAAGGGGATTCGACCTGGCTATGATTTCTACCAAAATACACCCATATTTTGCCAACTGTACTGAGTGTTCTAGTAATCGGAATCAAATTTCGAAAACATATTTGAATTTGTTATGAAGTTTACTTAAAAACAACTTTTCGACTTTTTTAAATTGATTACTCAAATCTTTACATTTTAATTAAAAATTTTGAATTTTATGAATTTTTAAATAATAGTAAAATTGAACTAAATTTAATTAATTTAAAAATGTATGAAAGTCGTTTTCATGTAAACTTCATGACGAATTCAAATATGTTTTTGAAATTTGTTTCCGATTACTAGAACAGTCTGTATAATTGGCAAAAGATTGGTACTTTAAAAAAAAAAAAAAAAAAAAATAGTAAATAATATTTGTCAAGCCCGCAACGGTGTACTTTGACATGTTACTACGCGTGCGATAATATACCGTTTCCTCTAATCAAACCTGTTTTCGTCCGACGTAGAGCAAAAATAATATTATAACAAGTTTCCGCATAGCGACATCACAGTGACGATAAAAACGAAAATATCCATAAAGCTATAATAAATGTTATAATTGTTATAAACAATAATTTATAAATAACACATAAAATATATGCAATCAATATTATCACAGTATCGCTGCAGGTAATACATATTACTTATTATTTATTAGCTGCTGGTTATGTTGTATGTACAATAGCTATTAACTGCTACCACAATTATTAGCTACCTACTATTTTTTTTTATAAATTATAAATTATATATATTATAATTTATAATAATACGTATACGTTTTACGTTTTTCTTGTCGTAATGGAAAACGTTTTACAAATTAAAAAACGATAAAGAAAATATTTATCAAAAAAACATAATGGAAATTTTATTAAATTAAAAAAATGGCGAGAAAATTTTAAAATTAACATTGAAAAGGTAAGTTAAAATAATTTGAAACTTATATTGCTATATAATTTTATTGTGTGCAAGTCATTTTTATATTTTATAAATGATTATAATATAGGAAGAAATAAATAATGTTTCAACATCAGAAAACCCTCATCCTATCAACGATGATACTGTTATAGCAGAACAGGATAATGCACAAAATATGGACGTCCGTCTCTAGTAAATTATTATTGTTTTCTATACATTATTTACAGCAATAGCCCTTATGAATAATACATTTTAAATTACAAAAAAAAATCAAAAAATTATTATTTTTCGTTTAAAAATGAAGTTTTGTCAAAATCTAAGTTTCGAAATTGCTAGGTATAGCAATTACATTTATGCTCAAAATTATACTTAAATGAGTTAAATGTATCAAATTTTGTTTTAATTTAAAAAATAAATAAATTATCAACTGGTTAATTTCCACAGATTATGTCTATAATATGACTATTTTTATACATTGTGTCACTGTGTTTAGCGTATATTATTATTAGGGCAGAGAAGTTATAGGAGATAAAATTGGAAAAATATGCACATAAAAAATTGAAAATATGCATTCAAATTCATTAAATATGCAATATAATATGCACAAAAAAATTAAATTATAATTTAGTAAAATAATAAAATTAGATATAAAAAAAATATAAAAAAGTCATTGTATTGCACAATTAATTTTATTTTAAATATTTTCTACGTCGAATAATCGCTGATTGTTAGTATAGTTTTCTTCAATCTCGAATTTTGGATTTATCCTTAAAATAAATATAAAATATATTAATACAAAAATAGTTTTAAAATAACTTTTTTCTTACCTGATAAATTATTGCATTGCACAACTAATGTTTTTTTAATATTTTCTACGTCGAATAATCGCCGATTGTCAGCCAGTATGGTTTTGTACCTTGAAAAACTTCTTTTGACATCTGTTGATGTTACTGGTGCATATTTATAAAATGTTAAATCATTTCCTGTTAGGTCTTCTGGTAAACCAACCATCGATGAACTTTCTCCATTCAAAATTTTTAAAATTTTTAATATTATTGCAAACCCATCATTTTTTTCTAAAACTTGGTTATATTTTGTTTTTTTTTTCATTCCAACGTCACCCGCAACTTTGTCCAATTTATTTTTTGTGAACATTACTGTTATTACTGAATCAGTTAATGATACTCCTTATGTTTCTAATTTAGTTATAGTTGATGGTAAAAACCCATAATTTAAATGTATAAAAGTTAAATTTGGTTCCATTGAAATTTCATTTAGAAAGGCTTGAGATTCTTTTATAGATACAGCATCTTTAGAATCAAAATGTTGCATAACATCTCGTACTTGCTTAAAATATTGGCAGTAATAAGAAGTAGCTTCAATCCAAGAACCCCAACGTGTAAGTACAGGTTCAGGAGCAAGAGGGACTCCGGGAGCTTCTGTCTTAAAAAATAAAACATGCGAAGGAGCTTTTAAAAATACTTGCTTTCCTTTTGCTACTAATTTATCAACTTTAGGAAAATGACTACGAATATTTTCTGCCAATCTATGTAATCCGTGTGCTATGCAAGTAATATGGATCATCTTGGAGTACAAAGCCTTGATAGTTGTACCTGCTTTCTTCATGTATGGCGCAGCATCGCTTAAAAATAGGAGGACGTCATCATGACGAACACCGTCGGGCCACAAGAGAATCATTGAGCTGTCAAAAAGTTTGGTTATTGTAGAAAAATTGGCTTTTTCTAAAACTTCGGTGTTTAGTAAATATATTTTTCCGGGTCTATCCTTCAGTAGAGTTCCGATTATTACGTTTGCAATATATCTCCCTTGTACATCTGTCGTTTCATCTATAGAAACCCATATTTTATTTCCTACAACGTATTTTCTAATTTGATCAATAGCTTCTAAATAGTAATCGTTTGTATAAGTTTTTCTCCACGTGGATACACTAGGGATGTCATTTAGAGTATATTTTTCAAGAAACGATCGGAATTGAACATTAGAAATTTTATGTAAAGGAATGTTTGCACACATTATAGCCTTACATAAATTATGTGAAAAAACAGATTTTTTGTTTGACGGCTGTGATATAAATTGTTGTTTATTTTCTGCAGGTTTATTTCGACGAGCTAATAAT